TTAACTATCTTCTTATTTTTCGCGTGAATTTGTATCTCAAAAACTGGAAAATCTTTATATACGAAAGTAAATGTGCTCCTTGTGAGAGCAGCTGAAGTGCCAGTATATATAGACCATCGAATTCAGCGTTTGCGATTACATGGAACGTCAGAACGAACCTGAATTGAAGGGTATAAACAACGCGTTCCGAGCTACTAGTTTCGAACGCGTTCGCAAGCTATGTTAGGAACGCGTTCTTTAACTGTTTGTCTTGACCTGGGATATTCTATATATTATTTTTAGTCAGAGCATTTGTATAATAAATAAAATCTCATAAAGAAATTTGGTTAACAGCTTTAAAAAAATTGATTTTATGTGATTTTAATAAAAAAATAAAAATAAATAAATAAATAAATTGGCGTCATCTATAAAAGAGAATAATTTTGATTAGTAAAAGACATATGACGGTTGTTGTTGTTGTTGTTGACGATGAGTGAATATGAGGAGGACGTTGACAAATTTCCAAAGATGGAATTTAAGTGAATAATTTGTGTTTATTTAACATTGAGTTGAGATAAATGTATTTGATAGAAATCTTTCGAGATAAATATATTTGATAGAATAAATAATTGATGTCCTTGATAATTTATCGAACTTTTTAGATATTTATTCATTTATTTTTCTCATTTGAATAATCAACTGATGAGTACGATATTTCGCAGCGAGGAGATGACTTTATGTCAACTCTTCTTGCAACCTGATGCGGCTTATGCTTGTATATCAGAATTGGGAGAATTGGGAATTGTACAATTTCGTGATGTATGATTATTTTAACATTAGTTTTAATAAAGTTAATAATTAATATTTTTGTTTTTGTTAATTTAACTAGTTGAATCCAAATGTTAATTCTTTTCAACGAAAATTTGTAAATGAAGTTCGACGATGTGAAGAAATGGAACGAAAACTTCGTATAAATAAATATTTCTTTTTATATATATGAATATTGTTTTGTTTTTGTTTAGGATTTCTTGAAACGGAAATAAAAAAAGATGAATTACCGATATATGATCCCGAAGATAATCCTGATGCACCAAAGCCTCGTGAAATGATCGATCTTGAAGTTTGTTTTTTTATTTGTTGCTTTTTTTCTATTGTAAAATCATAAATTTTTTTTGTTTAGGCAACATTTGAAAAATTGGATCATGAATTAAAAGAAATAAATACAAATGCTGATGCACTTCTTAGAAATTTCAATGAATTAACTGAATTAAAACATAATTTACAAATGACTCAAGGATTTTTTGATGAGGTAAATTAAATAAATAAGGATAAAGCTTTGCTTTTCAATTAACGAGAGAAAAAATTAGGCAGAGACGGCATTTACATCAGCACACAATCATAACGATAGGGATGTCGACGATGATCAACTTCAACTGCTATATGAATATTCAATCATCACTCATAATAAATTGGGGTAGAATTTAATAACCGTGTTTTCGTTTTTTTTTTGAGAGGGGGACACAAACAATCGCTGCTTAATTAATCTTTTCTATTGAAAATATTCTTTTTTTTCTTTTCTTAATCTCTGCTCTTCGATTCCTTTTTCTCTTTTTTTCTTTTTCTAAAGGCTCAAGCTAATCCAGTTGGTGTTTTGGAAGATATATCTGCTGAACGAGAAATTGAATTAGGTGGACAATCAACAGCGGCTGCTGGAATGAAATTAGGGTAAAATAAAAATTGATCGAATAAATAAATATTTGTTGTGTGGCGTCGTTTGTGTCCCTCTCTTAAATATATTTTTATATAAGATAAATAATATTATATTTGTGATTATTTTTTTTAATGTTAAATAGATTTATAACTGGTGTTATACCACGTGAACGTATGGTTACATTTGAACGAATGTTATGGAGAGTTTGTCGTGGAAATGTTTTTGTTAAACAAGCTGATATTTCTGATTTAATTGAAGATCCTCTTACGGTTTCATTTTTTTAAATTTTATTTTCAATATTTATTTTATTGTTTTTATTTATTTAGGGTGAAAAAGTTCATAAAACAGTATTTGTTGTTTTCTTTCAAGGTGAACAATTAAAAAATCGTGTTCAAAAAATTTGTGAAGGGTTTGTTTATTTATTAATTAAAATAAAAAACAAAAAAAAACATGTTTGTTTTTTGTTTTTTGTTTTTCTTTGAATTAAAAATTCTAGTTTTCGAGCAAATATATATCCATGTCCAGAAAATCCTTATGAACGTCGTGAATTAGCAATGGGTGTAATGACACGTTTAGATGATTTAACTGTTGTTCTTAGTCAAACTCAAGATCATCGTCAAAGAGTTTTAGCAGCAACATCAAGAAATCTTCGAACATGGCAAATTAAAGTTAAAAAAATCAAAGCAATTTATCATACAATGAATATGTTTAATAATGATGTTGCAAGAAAATGTTTTATTGCGGAATGTTGGGCACCAGTTTCCGAACTTGATAGAATTCAATTAGCACTTAGAAAAGGATCTGTAAGTTTAGTTATATTCTCTCTCTCTTTTTTTGTTTTTCTCAATTAATCAATCATTATATAATAACATTATCAACACTTATTTATTTTAATAATTTTATAAAAAATTTTCGCGTTTTTTCTTTTATTTTTTAAATAATTTTAAGATTTTTCCATGGTAATAATGATAGATTCGATTTTTCAAAAACAAAAAAAAAACCGATATAGATACTAATAGAAAAAGATAATATCATTTTAAAGAATTTGTTTTTTTAAATAAATAAAAATTGTTTTGTTTGTTCGTATAGAATAAATCATGATCAGTTAAAAATATTCGATAAGAAATAAAATAATCAATATATGCAACTAATCTAGATTTATGTTTTCTGATTATAAATCAAAATGAACATATATATATATATATAATATGTTTTTATAATAAAAATAGAATTAATTTTTTGAGAGAAGATTAATATTATGTTGAGTTATTATTGTTAATTAGAGATTCTTTCTTTGAACATATTAATCATTGAAATAAAATAACTAATCAATTTATCTAACTATTGAAATCGATATGATGATTATATTTAGTAATCGTCTATATATTATCAAAAAAATAGTCTATAGAAAAAAAGGAAAAATATTCATGTTAAAATATTTAAAAATGAAGTTAAGAAAATATATTCGAAAATGATTTTTTCTTAAATAAAATAAACTTTTTTTCTTTTCCTTATTAAAAAAAAAGAAAAAAAAAAACTTTGAGTTAATTTAAAAAATAATTAAATAAATAAAATTTTGAATGTAAATAATAAATAATAAATATGTTTAATATTAAAATAGGAAGCAAGTGGTGGTGAAACAGTTTCATCAGTATTAAATCGAATGATAACTCGTGAACAACCACCAACACATCATAAATTAAATAAATTTACACAAGGTTTTCAAAATTTAGTTGATGCATATGGTGTTGCAACATATAGAGAAATAAATCCAATGCCATTTGTATTAATAACATTTCCATTTTTATTTGCTGTTATGTTTGGTGATGCTGGTCATGGTATTATTGTATCAATATTTGCTATTTGGATGGTTTTAAAAGAACGTTCACTTAAAGATAAATGGAGAACACAAGAAGTTTGGACTATTTTTTTTGGTGGAAGATATATTATTTTATTAATGGGATTATTTTCAATTTATACAGGACTTATTTATAATGATGTTTTTTCCAAATCTATAAATATATTTGGATCATCATGGAGAGTTAAATTTGAGTATGAATATATATATTTTTATTTAATTTGAATTATTTAAAACTAAATTTTTTTAATTTATTAATTTAAAGTGATAAAACATTAATTAAAATTGATTCAGTTATATTAGAACCAAATCCAACTCCATATAAAGATCATACACAAACATATGAACAAATGTATTCTGCTAATCCATATTTATTAGGCATTGATCCAGTTCGTATAGGTTTTTTTTTTTTTAAATTAAAAAAAAATGTTAAATCTTAAATTGTTGATAGATTTGGCAACTATCTGATAATAAAATAACATTTACAAATTCTGCAAAAATGAAATTTGCAATTATTATTGGAATAATTCAAATGGGTTTTGCTGTTATTCTTAGTTTATGGAATCATCTGTAAGTATTTATTATAAATTAAGAAATAATAATATTATTTTAATTTATTTAAATTGAATAGTCATTTTAAACATTATCATGGAATATTTGTTGAATTTCTTCCTCAAATAATATTTTTAGCTTGTATTTTTTTTTATTTAATTATATTAATATTTTATAAATGGACAAATTATGAAGGAAAAGATGCAACAGATGCTCCATCACTTCTTATTCGTAAGTAAATAAAGAAAAAAAAAAAAAAAAAAAAACTAAATAAAATCAAAGAATAACGGTGACCACCTCCACATTATGATCTTGATCATGGAGATGTTCATCGTCAATAATATTCTTAGTCTTCACATTTTGTGTCTTGACGTCCAGCACGACGCCACTCTACAAATACAAAGCAGCATATTGAGTGGTCTATTATCAATTAATAATATATTAAAATGAAAGCAGCTCCAACAATAACTAAAGCGTTTAAATAAATTTGTTTAAATGATAACCTCTTCATGTTTATTATGATCATTCATTTCAATATCATTACTTGCCAAAGGATTTGTTACTGTTAAATACTTTATTGTTTTTGTTTAAAATAAAAGAAAACAAAAAAAAAAAATAAATATTCTAGAAAATTTAATATTAATAATATTTACATTATTTCGTTTTCTTCTTTTAATAATCGTATAAATTGGTTTAGCTAAAAGCATCCATGGTATACAAATAACAGCTATTCCTAATAATGCTGTTTGAACTCCTTTTTGACTTTTATAAATTTTAGTTGAACTTGGAGGATTGTCAGGATAAGATAATAACATCATATTTATTAAATCTTTTGTTTTTTGTTTTGTTTTTAAAATAATATTCATTTTAGAAATTTTTTTTTTTTTTTTTTTTTTTTTTTTTTAAAAAAAATGTTTTATTTAAATAATTTATTTTTTATATT